TCCATACTGTAGCGTGTATTGGTTATGTCTCGTAACACATGACATGTTCATTGACATGAACATTGAGAAACAAATCATGTTTGGTAGTCTTCAAAGGTCTTAATATGTAAACAGACTGAAAACTGAATCCAATAAAATCACACATGTGTGAGAAATAATCAACTGATATCTTGAAGACAACTGCCATTCATGCAAGACAGTGTTAGGTTCAAAATAACCAAGACTGAATTATATCCAGGTCAACTATATGACAATATTCTTGCAAATAAAAACACATTGACTTGAGTGCAAGTGACCATTTCTTCACTAGCACAGGTTACAAAAGTATCATTAAAGCAAGTTATTACTGTGACTTGGCCTGGGTTAGAACCCACGACCTCTCACATCAGAGGCCAATGCTCTAACCAAGGACACAGGAGTGGTTCTGTGTAGGAGGAATAGCTATGGCAAGATTTTCAAGATGGGAATCCAGATGAGCTCCATTTTCATTTATGCCTAACACATTGTAAAAAGTCTTTCATTGAAAAATCTGTATTGATAGGACCAGCTGGTCCTCTAGAGTTTTTTTTAAAAATGGGTGCCATGGTGGCCATTCTGTACTTTAGGTTGGCAATATTTTCATTTATGACCAGCTAGAAATCACAAGTCTTTCAGTGAAAACCCGATAGATATGACCATTCAGAAGGAGTAATGATAACATGGCTTTTAAGATGGCCAATGTAATGGATGTGTGAGCATCACCAATTTCATTTAGGACCAATTAGACCATAGGATGAATGAGTACGGCAAACCTTTATGTAGTTTAGTTGTAGTAGTAATAAAATGCTCACTAAATAACTAGCAAACATAATACGACTGGTTACAGATAGATAAATCACAATAGACCATCCCAAAACTTTTCTGTTCTATGACCAATAACTCCTCTGGTCTATGCTCATTAGAGTTAAAATTAAATCTGCAATGTATATCAAAACCCTCATGTGCATAGTAACAAGAGTCCCTTGAAGAGAATCATGATCTACTATGCAAAACAAATTTCCTGGAATTCAAGATAAGACCATTTCTTCCTTTTAACGGTTTAGTGTTGAAACCATCTCTGATATTATTCTGGCCAAAAATTTTGAACTAGCTGCTGTGGTACACAAACTGGATATCAGCTTAAAGCAGACATCATTAGAAGTCTTATTGAAAACCCTATGTAATAATGATTGTCTAGTTCAAGACAGATATTGTAGTAGCGACATTGGATATATGATAGGACTAAGTACATAAGAAGCCTACTGGTAAAAACCCCATGTTGGCATAGCCATCTATTTAGAGAGGAGTGAGAGATAATATTTTCAAAATATGTCTTTCCATTCTCATGGAGTAGCAATAATAATATTTTCAAGATGGCTATTGTGGTGACCATATTGGAGATCAGATTGGTGACCACATGTGGTAGACATACTGGAAATCAGATCACCATCTTTTTTCATCCAGGACCAAGCATATATCATACTACATCTTTTAGTGAAAACCCCATTTATTATGACCATGCATTCAAAAGGAGTAATGATAACAAGATATTCAAGATGGCTGCTGTAGTGGCCATATTGGATGTGCTAGCAGCACCATTTTTAACTGATACCAAAGAGCCCATGTTATGTAAGTATGTGTAAAGTTTCAAGGCAATCCTCTAAGTAATTTAACAGGAGTCTAATAACAAACATGTACTAAAGGATGCATGAATGAAAGACCATTAGTGCTTCTGGTCTATGACCAGTAGAGCTGAAAATTAAATCTGACTTCTTGTGACTTATAAGATGAAAATATTATAGACTACAATTTTTGGCAGTTAAACTTTAAATGCAATGCCCATTTTTAAATTTGATATTCTGAGAACTATCAATACATTTCTTTCCTGACACTGTGATACGTAGCAAACAGTATGTAAGGAATAGTACAGCATCATCTATAATATCACAAGATTATATAAGTATAGCACAGAAATAAATCCAAATGCATAGACACTGAAAATATTGAAAAAGTGATTGTAAATAACCAGGAAATGCAAATAATTTTGCATCCTCAATGTGCTTGTGGGACATGTCCATCTACATAAAAGTTTCGAGTTGCTGGAGGTAAAGTTAGTTCCATTCCATCTAGTTCTTTTGTAAGGATTATCTGACAACCTGAAAGAAAGAAATCAAAGTATTGAAAATACTGATGACTTGAAAGGTTGGTATGATACTAATTTACACAAGAGCTGATTGCTTGAAGGGTTGAAGTGATACTTAATTACATAAGATCTGATGGCAAGGGTTGAAGTTATACTAATTTACACAAGACCTGCTGGCAGGGTTGAAGTGATACTAGTTTACACAAGATCTAATGGCTTGAAGGGTTGAAGTGACACTAATTTACACAAGATCTGATGGAAGAGCATGACTCAAGAGATATTCATGGTTCATTTCATAATCTTTGTAATATTCCAAATTTTCTTTTCTATATATTTCTTCACTAGAGAATTTATATTACAATTTGAAACATTATTTGAGAAATTAGAAGTATATGCATTTTATATTACTGTTTAAAGTATTACCTTAAGACAAATGATATAAAAGGGAGATAAATATAAGGTTTAATATTTTGCATCAACTTGTAGTTTTATACTAAAACATCTTCAAATTCAAAACATAATTTAAAAGATTTAGTTTATCCTCATATGGTCTCAAAAATTCATGCATCACATGTTCTATAAAAATCTAAAACTTATCAACAGAATGAAAGTTGCAAATGGTCAAAATGCAAACAATTCATAGCTTAGCAACTATTTACCAAAGAATTTACCGCTGAAAATGCTTGAAGATAATAACACTGTTTCTTGGTATGAAAAATAAATCCCTCTCTGAAGAATGAAGAAATGATCTGCAACAAATCTCTACTCAGAAAAGATGCAGTCTGGTACTATATCTTTAGCATACAAAATAATTACATCTTACAAAATAAATCTCCAATATTGATCTCAGGCACTGCACACACTTATAAAAGTCAAAGTGATGGAGATAAGCTAATCTAAAAGTCTGAAGAACCAGACTTTAAACCTGCTAGTCATATTAAATATGCGTACAAGAAACTCAGTATAACATTCTAAGGAAAAAGAGTAATATTGTTTGAATAATTTAAATCAGGGTAGTCCAACATCTTCAACACCGTCAGCAACATGGATAAAAAATGTAAAGTTCATGGGCCATACATACATATTATATTTTCAAGATATGTCTTTCCATTCAGGAGGAGTAGCAATAACAATATTTTCAAGATGGCTATTGTGGTGACCATATTGGAGATCAGATTGGTGACCACATGTGGTAGACATACTGGAAATCAGATCACCATCTTTTTTCATCCAGGACCAAGCATATATCATACTACATCTTTTAGTGAAAACCCCATTTATTATGACCATGCATTCAAAAGGAGTAATGATAACAAGATATTCAAGATGGCTGATATATATATATATATAAATATATAAATATATATATATATATATATATATATATATATATATATATATATATATATATATATATATATATATATAAAATTTAAAGAACTGACTTTTTTGTGAGATATTTGATCTACAGGCCTGTACTTGGACCACTCTGATTTAAATTATTCTAAAAGGATTCTTTTGGTTGGCAATAAAAAAAACTGATGAGGATATAGTTTAAAATAATTTACTTATTTCTACATTGTGAATCAGATTATAAAAATATCTGCAAAGTGAGAAATTATTTCAAAATGTATTCTACTCAAACAGTTTATATATAAATCTGTTACCAGCAGCTGATGCCATATTATTCAAAGATTTTTCAAGCTTTGTATTGATATCTTTTATTTGATAAACACATTTTATTACCTATCCATCTAGTCATCCATTGTTCTGGTTTTCGATACAAATGTTCAATCCAGATTTCTATATCACATGTCCAGACTGAAAATATTTACTAGGTGCTTTGCTAATATATGGAAATATTCTGAAATACTATAAATCAAATTTGTTTTAAATTTCATCTACTCTGTATGTCTAAAAGTATTTGAAAAGCATAACACAGTAATAATGAAAACTGACTTCATGCTGTTGTTTCGAGAATGGTGAAAGAACTGAAATATGACATGTGAACATGTCTTGGCCAGATGATTTCAACCTCTCCCTACACAATATCAAATTAATTTTTTCCTCTAACTCTGAACAAAACACTACTACTTACTAAGCCTGGAGTTGTCTTTTAAGAAAGGTGCCATGTCCAGCATATCTTCTTCCCTGCAGAAAATCAGTAGAAAAAAAAATGTAATTTGTTACCTTCTTTTAAACCAGAATTTTGTTTGTAAAACAACAAACTTGAGGAAAGATGAGCAATATTTGCTCACATAATTATAGCCCACCTCCCACATGAATAAGATGTATCTACAGTCATCAAACTACTCCTCTGAAAATAGTGCTCGTAAAATGATTGGTCACCTTGCATAACTTCTGATGACGATCAAAGTATATACTGAGTTTAATACCAATACACTAAAACTGCAAGAGTAGCAAAATTTTGATTGTCTACTTCATGCACATTATTTATAATAGTGTAAATAAAATGTTCATTAAGAAAAGTCCAAGACTAATATATAAAAAATGTGTAGAATATTGGATAAATTGTTAGAATGGACTAAAATCTAATTAGGTCATCTACATATTAATACAATCATGCCTATATCAGGTGATTTTAACATGCTAACAAGGTTGTCAAAATTATGTCAAAAATGTCAAGCCTTTTACATATGTAAACAAATAGGCCTACCAAATTTCATTTCATTTGTCTCACTAAAGTCCTTTCTACTTACTGATGCAAACATAGATATTGTCTAAGATGTCCAAATCCATAAAATTAAAAAGTACTTTAAAAAAATTCACAAATTGTTAGCCTGAAAACATAACAGAGACATCTAATGAAATATGTATGAACATCCAGTGTCTTAGTGGTTAGAGCATCCACCTCAGATGTGGGAGATCATGGGTTCGAACCCCAGCTGAGTCATATCAAAGACTTTAAAAAAATAGTACAAACAGCTGCCTCGCTTCATGCTCATCGTCAAGAGGTTAGCGTTAGGACTTGTCTGCCTGGTGTCAGGATAATGTGCCTGGGTGGGACATGATGCTACATGTCTGCAGCATGATGCCCCAGTGCTAGACATCACAATAAACTGCCACACTGCAGACATCATAGCAATATGACTGAAAAAAACTGTTAAAGCTACATAAAAAATATAAATCACAAACACACACACACACACGCACACACACACACACACACACACACACACACACACACACACACACACACACACTAATTATGAACAAAATAAATAAGGTGTGTAAACTGTAATGGCTCTAAGCTGAACAGTTTTTGTGTATCATGCTAAAATAGATTTGAAATGTACAGTCCATGGCTATTATAAGGGCAGGCAATATCAAGTAGGTGGGGTGATGCCATTTTGCAGTTACTGTTATTTCATTTTTTTTATTTTACTTAAATGAACTTAGTTTTTCATTAAAATACCAAAGTGTGGTTATTATTTTCATGAATAATTTTATATTTACAAAAAAAACCAATTTGCAATTTTTTTCCAAGTGTGATGTGTGCTGAAGGCAATCACTTAGAGCACTATTTCCTCCAGCACAAACTTGCATCTGCTTGGTATATGGATAAACAGATGCTCATATCAAGAGCAGCAAAACAAGAAAATGATGTCACACTAATCTGGTTGAGTTGCTTTCCAACAGATTTATCTGCATACCAATTTTCAGAAGTGCAAGTTAAACATAGTCCAAAATATTGCTGGTGCAACAAACAAACTGCAGAATATATAGTCACTTTAAAACACACACACACACACACACACACATATATATATATATATATATATATATATATATATATATATATATATATATATATATATATATATATATATATATATATATATATATATATACACACACATACACACATACATAAAAGTTGATAATGGTGCAAATATAAAACAGTTTCCTAATGTAGTGAGCTAAAAAAAACTCTTAGGGGAAGAAATAAGTCACATCCATAAAACAAACAATTAACACAAAAAAAATAGTGTAGTCTTAAATTGGGTAAACTATATATCAATGTTATGCTGCAATCAGCCCAACAATGATGTATAACTAAAATCAATGATGGGATTATCAGGCCTATCACACTGAGAACCAAAGTGATTTGGCCTAATTCCTAACTGAGAGTATCCAAAAAATCCAAAACAATGCCATTAATAAAATGTCAATGGAGGGTATTAAGGAAGTATGTCAAGAGCATGGTGCAGCAGGGTAATAGAAAAAAATAAAATAATAATAATAATAATAATAATAAAAATACATGTAAAGAGGTTGCATTCTATATCTGTCCACCCTGGGTTTGATTCAGTGGGTAGCATATTGATTAGGCTCAACATAATGCTCACTTAGGTTTAAGTGGTTGACAACTTTCAGACTGATTTTGTTGCAAATATGGCTGTTATGGTTAGTTACATTATATATATATATATATATATATATATATATATATATATATATATATATATATATATATATATATATATATAAATTAACTACGTCTCAGAAGATACTGGATATAATATATTGAGAAGAAGTAAATACAGTGGACATTTCTAATCTCTACTGGAATACCATTCCAAAGTATTGAAAACTCTTTTCTAATAATTCTTTATTTGGTTTTGGAATTATATACATAGAGTATTTTGGTAAACATGGATCACAAGGTGGGGTATGTTACCAGACGACCTATAAAGAAATTGTGACTGCAATTAGACAGGAGTTCTGTTATTGGATATCTTGTACATCAATTTGGTTTATCTCAAATGGATTCAGTCTTCAATAAGTAATATTTTTAATTAATTGGCTATGTTTTCTGTATTCTTTTTGGTCTGAAATTAGCCTAAATGCTCTTTTTTGGAGATGTCCTGGCTGCTATGTTTTTATCAATTAAATTATCCAATACATCATTAGAGTAATCTAAATAGGGTTAAAATAAAATACCCTCTATACTGTTACTCTCTAGAAGACAATGTTTTTTACTGATATATTTCATATGTTCAATCCATAAAAGATTATAATGTATTAAAACACCAAGTAATCTATCATGACAGATCAAACTCATGTCCCTCCATATTAGACACATTTTATCACTCAAATGATTTGTTCTTTATCAACATGTTCAGCAGGTAATATTTGACTGTTACTAGTATTAACAACCTTGCTAATGTGTGTGCACCTGTTGTTTAGGGCTGCCTGAAAAGAAATTTGGATGTCTAATACTGCTGTGTCACCTACATAGAGATCTGTAAATGAAACTGAGTCCCATAATAAAAGTGAAAGGTCATTAATAAACAAAATAAGTAGTACTAGACGTTGAACTGAGTCTTGTGGGATTCCATATCGAAATGTTCCAGGTTCAGACAGAACATTTTTTATATAAACATGTTGTGTTCTCCATTTAAGTATGAAGTAAACCATCTAATTGTGCATTAATCACATTGATAAACTTTAGTTTGCTCAAAAAGAATTTCACAAACCGCCATGTTAAAATCTTCACTGAAGTCTACAGATCCTAGTATTCTATCTTGATCAAATGGTTCAAGCCATTTATCAATTAGGTAGATCAAAGTAGATCAAATGATTTTGTCTAAAACCTGACTGGTTAGTGTGTACATCAAGAGTTGGTTAAACATGACAAGAATTAGTCAAAGATATATTTCTGAATCTGGACAAGTTTGGTGATATCTAAATTGGTCCATAGTTGTCTGCATCTTTCTAAGAACCTGATTTGCAAATAGTCATTACTTGTTCCGTTTTCAATATTTTGGGGGCAGATGAGGTCACAGTATTTCACCAGACCAAGTTCCTGAGCTTACTTAGAGTCATATTCAGTGATAAATTTTTGAACAAAATTTTTAAGTACTTGAGGGATGGAAAAACAGTCCTCAAAATAGATTTTGTTGCTGCAGAGCTTTTCCAATTCATCAATTTTGTTTTCCATCATTGGTTCTTTTAATTTTGTGATAATGTTGATGAAAACAATTATTGAAAACATCTGAGTTGCTCTTTTTGTTTTATAACATTGATTGTTATTAAATTTCTGTTTACCTATCTTAATCAAACTTCATATTTTTATTTCTCTATATTTTATATTACACATTGTTTCCCATAACCTTGAATTGACATCATGTTTTTATTGCATTTAATGTTTCAGATGTAAGCCAATAAGGTTGGATTTCATACATTACCTAATGCACTTTCTATCATGAATGTTTGGAGACTACATCCACAAAAAAGTTAGATCACACCCCCAAAACTTCATCTAAATCATCAGAATTGTTAATTATATTCCATGGAACTTACTTTGGCCATCAAGACATTGTTCTTCATTAAAATATTTGAACAATCTATACAGTGATAGTCTTGTGCATTGTTTATGTTTGTCTTGCATCTTACCTTGTGAGAAAAAAGTAGGGTATTGGTCACTAAGAATGATATTTGGTATTTTATATGAGTGTAGTAGTGCAAAATATGTAACAAAGATAAAAATAAATGAATATACATGCACATAGAAATGTATGAACACATGAAAAAATGGCCAAAAATGCTATATTTCCACCAGATTTAATTGGTGAGGGGATATAAAAACCAACTTCAATGTTGATTATCAAACTCTGAGATTGTGAGATAAATTCATATTCCAAGTTATTGCAATCTGCAAGTATTCATCAATAAATTTTTTAAAAAAATTCTAGTTTCTTTAGTAATACTTACCCAATCATAACACCTTAGAACTATTACTACCTTGCAGATCCAACCCAGATTAAAACATTTTAGCTCAAAGGTTAAAGGTTACCTACTCACCTAGGTGGCAGTTAGAGTTATCTACCCATGACACCATGATTGTTGCAAAATTCCATGAAATCATCATTTACTACTGGAATGAAAGGCATACTCTCTATATGGAGTAACTGCTGGGAGATTGGAATGATGTGTATTATGATGTGCTAAGTAACATTTTACCAGAAATAATTGTTTTCTTCTTCAAATGTATTACCGAAGATACTAGCCCAATCAAAATTACCTGGGTAATAAAATTGGCTATTGGCAAAAATACCCCAAAACTCCACAAAAACACCCACAAAACAATCAAAAAACCCATATTTCCCAATTCAGATTAAAGATTATATCTGTCAATTTCAGAAGCAAGTGAGACACAAAATAATGAGTATAGTCTGAGCTCATTTCATGTAACACTGATCCACTGTAGACTTCCATTTACTGATCTTCATATTATTGATGTGTGTGAACATTTGGCTATGTACTCAAACAAATTCCTTATTTTCTATTTGTAGTAAATGTGCATGGCATGTTTTGAAGAAAACAGATTGGTTTCTTGAATCTGAAACACTCTTATGCTGCAGAACAGACAATATTGAAAAAAAATTGCACCTAAAATTATCAAGTGACACTGACTTTATTGATGTCGCTCATGAATGTTATATGACTGAAAAATGTTAGAGGGATCTTGTCAAACTGAAGAACATGTTGCATCAGGAAAAGGACAAATCAATAGCACTTTACAAATTTGTAGAGTTATTCTACAGTGATATTACACAGCATTCAGAATTTATGGACTTTATGACCTTTGAGCGAAAGTTAAACATGTGATGTAGACTAAATAAAGTGAATGTTGTGTATTAACAAAATATCATTTTGTGTTGTGTCCATATTCTCTTACTAATCCACATGGAATTAGTTGATTTGAATTTCAACTAACTACAGATTCAGGTAAGCAGCTGAAATAAATGTAGGTTTTTTCATATGGTTCTATGTAATTATGGCATGTAATATACAGATCACTTTTTTCAGGTTGTGTTTTTTTGCCGCTCGTATTAGTAATAATTACACTTATACCTCTTGGGGGGATGGTGTTATGTATATGTAATT